TCGAATTCGAATGCGGGACCGTAGCCCGCCAGGGGGGATGGGACAAGGCCTTTTTCAGCGACTGATCCTAGCCGCCGATCTTCGCAGATCGATCAGTCGCCGAAAAAAAGCCTGCCCCTCCCTCCTAGAAAGTCCAATTTTTTTTTTTCAAGCACTAGGTGGCTGGGGAGGCCGCCACTGGCCGAAAAAGGCCTCCCACCCCCCCCCGCACGCGAAATTGCGCTGGGCCCGCCCGGCGCCCAACTGGGGGACCCAACCAGCCAGGCTGCCCGGGAGCCCTACCGGACGAAGGCCAGGCCGCCGGGCGGTACCGATTGCCATATTTTAGGGTACAGTCTTTCCCTGGTATATGTTGTTGTCAGTGTTTCAGATTTTTAGGAATAATGCAAACAGTTCAGATATCTTACCCGGTAATAATACTATGGGCATATTGAATTTGGTTAAATAATCCACCGGACTAGGTCAGTTGGTAAGGCACGCAAGTGGCATTCAGGAGGTCTTGGGTTCAATCCCCATCGGCCTCATGTACCTTCCTGGGCATGCTTGGCGCCCGACACCTAGAGATAGACCATTGGTCCCCCCAATTGGCATTAAAAAGCAGTGTCTGCTGATGTTCATAGGGGGAGGGGTAATCGGGGAGGCACGGCGACTGGCCACTCAGATGATGCTCGGTCCCTCTGCTTCCGGCTGTCCCCTGGTCGGTGCGTCCCCCATTGGGGGTTCCCTGAAGGCAATCAGGGCCACCCTGGGCTGAAAAGGCCACCCTATGTCAGATTAGACACAATATTGAATTTACCTGGGCTGGTTAGTCCGATGATAATACCTCAAGGCCATCGCCCTTTTAAAAAAAAAAAAAAAAACAGCGACTGGCCACTCAGATGATGCCCGGTCCCTCTGCTACCGGCTGTCCCCTGGCCGGTGTGTTCCCCATTGGGGGTTCCCTGAAGGCAATCAAGGCCACCCTGGGCTGAAAAGGCCACCCGATGTCAGATTAGACACAATATTGAATTTACCTGGGCTGGTTAGTCCGATGATAATACCTCAAGGCCATCGCCCTTTTTTTTTATAAAAAAAACAGCGACTGGCCACTCAGATGATGCCCGGTTCCTCTGCTACCGGCTGTCCCCTGGCCGGTGTGTCCCCCATTGGGGGTTCCCTGAAGGCCATCAAGGCCGCCCTGGGCTGAGAAGGCCACCCGATGTCAGATTAGACACAATATTGAATTTACCTGGGCTGGTTAGTCGGATGATAATACCTCAAGTCCATCGCCCTTTAAAAAAAAAAAAACATTTTGGTTAAATACTGGGTAAATAGTAACTGTTGGTGTTGACGTTTTTTGCTTGCCTTCTGAGTTATACCCGCATCACTGTAAGGTTAGATTGTAGAACGTTTACAGGTAACTTACAGGATAGTGTTTGACCTGGTCGACACCCAGAGAGGTACTAGTAGCGGCACTAACGAGGGCAGTGAGAGAGCAAGAGGTGGCGGTGGAAATGCTTCTGGCTAGGTGGTAATAGTGGAGACAGGGAAGAGCAATCTTGAGGTGTACCCATTGATATCATTACCCCCACAGAGACCCAAGGGTGCGTGGTGGGAAACCCGCCATGGCACCTCAGGCTCTTCGCGGCTTATGCATAGCGAGGATAAGGGGGTGTTGTGTCCGGTGCTGTGAGGTAAAGCTACTTGTTCTTTTGAGGTCACATTGTTTTAGTTGATCGCACTGCAGTTTCTGCAGTGGCTTGGTTGACACCCAGGGAACTACTAGCAGTGGCACTGCCAAAAGCAGTGAAAGTGCATGAGGTGGCAGTGGGAACGCTTCTGGCTAGGTGGCAACAGTGCAGTACCAAAAGAGCAAACTTGAGGTGTACCCATTGAGATCGTTACACCCACAGAGATCCAAGGGTGCGTGGTGGGAAACTGCCATGGCATCTCAGGCTCTTTGCGGCTCGTGCATGGTGAGGTTAAGGGGGTGACATGCCCAGTTCTGTGGCGCTAGCGCATTGGCAAGAAACAGGGTGGTCACATAGTATAGTCTCTATCTGTAGTAGTGATCTGGACTGTTGGTTTTTGAGAGACCTTGGGGATAACGAGTCACAATGATTTACTTCAGAGAACTTTTCATGGAAGGGACGCTGGACCCGGTTTCCAGCCAAGCAGCAGCTGGGTAATGGCCCCAGTACCACTCCGGGTAGAATTGTGAGTTCCCCAGCCTCAAGTCCTATTATTATCATTACATAATAAAAGCTACATAATACATACCAAAAAAAAGAAAAAAAGAAAAAGAAAACATCTCCTTATGCGGGACTTATTCTGCAAACCACTTAGAATTACTGTTATTGTTAATTATTAATTATTATTATTATTATTATTATTATTATTATTATTATTATTATGACGTGAAACTAAATCATCTCCGTATGTGGGACTTAGGCTGCAAACCATTAATGATTTTTATTATTATTATTACTATTGTTTTACCATTAGCGCGTAGCAGCTACTTGCCGCCAAATTCACCTGACTCCCATTTGTAACTTACAAACACGTGTGGTATTGTCAGGTCCAGGCCCCCAGCTGGTTTACCATGTATAGCACATAGCTACAATATTAGAAGATTGTGGTATGTAAAACTGTGATTTCGAAAACTTGAAGTTCAAAGATTCAATATTACTCCATCAGCAAGCTGCACAGTGGGCGGTGCATTGTCTCTCTTCCCCCCACCGCTCCTCCAAGCGAAAAAAGGAAAACACAGCAAGGAAGGGAAAATAAATCATATCCTTGTATGGGACTAGGTCTGCAAACCACTTAGGATTAATTATTATTATTATTATTATTATTATTATTATTATTATTATTATTATTATTATTATTTCTATTACCACTTAGAATTGTGATCTTTCCTCCATCAGCAAGCTGCAGACTGTCCGTGCCCAGGAGAATCTGGATAGTGTAGGTCCCACTTCGGGTATATCTGTATGTGACCTCCATGGCCCCGGTTGTGACATTAACCACCGCATTCAAAAAGACTGGCAGTTCGCGGGAGAATTTGGTGACAAATGTCGGCGGGTTTGTCGCTATAGGATTCCCAAAAGTGTCGGCCGGCCAGATTGTGAATCGCAAATTGGATCCAGCAACTCCACCTGTCAATGCCACTCCGGATGCGTAACACTTGGATGCCGATGGCTGACCTGCACATTCGTGTGGTACATCAGATCAGACACACAAGTGCAATCAGACTCTTTTTCTTCTCACTTGGCATGCATGCAAACGGATGGCAGTCCAAGCTGGCGCCAGGCGCCCACACAAAACTCAGAGATATTCAAGTCGAAAACACAGTTTGGATACAAACTCGCTTCAGATTGGCTATGGCGCCTGAGCGCCTACACAACTCCCTCTCTACGCTTTATTCACATCACTGTTCACACGCACACCACACTAGATCTCCCTGGATATCCCACGCACACACACAACTCACTCACTCACTCACACTGAGTCACACGCTGTAGACTAACTCTAGGCTATGGCGCCTATGGCCGTCGACTAACTCTCGCTACTAGCAGCGATGGCTGCTCTATCTCCCTCGTAACCCACTTCAACTTCGGGCATCTGCAGACCACCTCGCACAAGACGCCTGGGCAGTGCTTCCGCATGGCTCATGCAGAATGAATGAATGGATGGACGCCGCCGCTTGATTTATACTTCTGTTGGTCGTTGGTCTGCCCCTTTTCCACGGGTCCGTGGTGCACACAGTCCCACATGGTACTTGCTGAATGGACAAGGTGAGACTGGGACTGGGTACCGCCGACTAAGCAAAGTTGGACTACCCACTTGCCCACTTGCCTCTGGCCTAGCATGAGTAACACTTGAAAGGCCACTTCCGGACCCTCCGGAAGTCTGTGGACTTCGCCTTTTGGAGCTGTAGAAGCTACGACCTTGACCTTTCCGGACTGTAGCAGCTACGACCTTGACCTTTCAGAGTTGCAACAGCTATGACCTTTACACAGCGATGACCCCTACTTGACAGACCTACGGTTCAAGACCCAACACCTACACATACCTATGACAGACAGCAGTCAACTATCAAAACACAGGTCACAGGTTCAAAACACACAAGGGTCGACTTGATACTGTACACAGTGAGGTAAGGTCTAGGGATCGAGCCCTAGGGTCTGCATCTGTTACTGCAAAGGTGAAAACCGTTTCACTCCCCCCGACCTAAATTTGAGGTCCTCCGAGAATACTTCAGTCCAAGGCGGGACCTTTACCTTTCTTATCTCTCTCATAGGCTCGAACTACATAGGGAGCGGTCTCTTGAAGTTCTGTCTGTGTGAACCAGCGGTCGTCCTCTGGTTCTTGAAAAGAGAATCTGACTTTATACCGTTTCTGTGGACGACCTCTACCTCCTGTTCTGAACACATCTTGACCTACTATGTGGTCAATGCCGTACCTTCCATCCATGTCCGGGGGGATCATGGATCTCCGTGATGGAAACTGTTGACTTGTAGTACAGGGCAACAACTTTGACGCATGAAAAACTGGGTAGGTGTGGAGGTGTGCTGGAATCTCGACTGTGTAGGACAGTCCATCCTCTCCGCCCTTGACTTCTAAGACTGGCCACGGTCCTTGGTATGCAGGCAATAACTTCTGCGAGATGTTTTCCTCAGGAGCAAACTCCTTTGACTTGTCCCAGGCTAAGTCGCCTACTTGGAACTATGATGGGCGGCAGTGCTTGTTAGCTTGTTCCATCATATTCTGTTGGCCCTTCCTGAGGTTCTCAATTACGGTAGCAATCTCTCTTTCGTGCTGCGGAGCAAACTCCCTAGTACCGGGCGGTAGCCTCTGAACCTGATTCCGGTTCAGTCCTTCAAACGGTCTATGTGGTCTAACGGACTTCTACAACTCATTGGGAGTGTGATAGGTCGCTAAGTGCACACTATTGTTATATGCGCTGGCTACCTTGGGAAGCCTAGTTAACTTGACCGGGTCTAATATACATTCTGAGAACTTGCTGCAGAATTTTGTTCATCTGTTCAGTCTGTTCGTTAGTCTCTGGATGGCGGTCAGACGACATCAACAATCTAGAGCCATAGACTCTCATCAACTCCTGCCAGTTCTGACTAGTGAACCTGGTATCCATGTCACTAACTATGAACAACAGTATGCCGTGTTCACTAACCCAATGATCAAAAAACTTTTCTATCACTAAGTTTGTATGTGCCTCTGAAGGCAAGGGAACAAAAACTGCATACTTGCTAAATCTGTCAACTATAACCATGAATTGGCTCTTGCTATGCCTACTCCTGACCCCAACATCCATGAAGTCAATGAACACAGAGTCTCCGTGTCCGTCGGGAATAGGCAAGGCTCTGAGAAGACCAAGAGGGGCTCGCGTAGTGGCCTTATTCCGTAGGCACACCTTACAACTGCGTACATACTCTATGCAGTCGGCCTTCATGCCAGGCCACATATACGTGCGAATGAGGTTGGCTAATGTCTTTTGTCAACCAAAGTGTCCCTCTGTGTCGTGGCATTCCCCTAAGATCAAACTACGGATCTCTTCATTGTTGGGAACGCATAGTCGGTCGGCTACACTAGTCTTCTCAAATAGCAACCCATTTGTAGTGCGGTAGTCTGGTTCAGACTTTGGAGACTCTCTAACTCTCTTGAGAAAATCACTAAAGACAGGGTCCTGCGTTTAAGCTTCCTTGACTTTTTGTTATAGGTCTCTCCCTATGTCTAAGTAGTGAACCATTGCTCCGAAGTAATCAGCTCTCCTACTCAGAGCATCCGCAACTACATTGTACTTTCCTTTGATTGGCTTGAGCTCAAAGTCGAACTGGTCTATCTCTATGGCCCACCTAGTAAACTTAGGTGTCATCTTGGCCTGCGGCTTTAACCACCTCAGCGTCTCATGGTCTGAATACACTTTGAAGTGTCTCCGAAGCAAGTAGTGCTTCCAATGATCTAGTATTTGCCTGAGAGCGTAGAGTTCCCTCTCATAGGTTGATGTCGCTACCTTCTCTGAAGGCATCCTAGCAGACATAAACTCTACGGCTCTATACCCATTGCCATCATCTTGTTGTAAAACAACACCTATCCCATACTGACTTGCGTCAGTGGTGACAACAAAAGGCAAGGACAGATCGGCTACCTTGAAGACTAGGTACTCTATCAAGGCCCGCTTCAGCTTCTTCAGGGCCGACGTACAGTCTCTATCCCACTTCCAGATTGCTTCTTTCTTCAACAACCTGCGAAGAGGTGCAGTGATGGTAGAAAAACTTCTTACGAACTTCCTATAGTAATTTGCTAGGCCAAGGAACGACCGCAATTCTATCAAGGTGCGGGGCGTTGACCAATCTCTAATCGCCGTTGTCTTACTGTCCTCAGGTCTTATGCCATTTCCATCTAAGACGTGGCCCGAGTACAAAACTTGTGTCTTTTCCCACTCGCACTTCTTCGCGTTGATCTTGAAGTTAGCTTCCCTCAGCTTCTCTACGACCTGCCTCAGATTACCCTCATGCTCCTAGAGGGTCTTACTAAACACTAGAATATCGTCTAAGGACACCACTACAAATCATCTAACCATGATCGAAACAGATCGTTCATAAAGCGCTGGAATGTAGTTGGCGCATTGGTTAGTCCAAAGGGTATCACTATAAACTCGTAGTGCCCATATCTAGTATTGAATGCTGTCTTGTACTGATCATCATGGTGGACTTCTATCTGATGATAGCCTGACTTCAAATCTATCTTAGGGAACTATTTGCAGCCCTGCACCCGATCTAACAGATCATCTATACAGGGCAGTGGTTCTACATTCTTCACGGTGACGGCATTAAGACCCCTATAGTCTATGCACATTCTAAGTTCCCCCTCCTTCTTGGGGACAAAAAGAACAGGTGCTCCAAATGGAGACGAACTGGGCCTAATCCAACCCTTCTTTAGGAGCTCGTCTAACTGCTTGCACAACTCCTCTAACTCCTTTGGGGACATCCTATACACGGCTCCCTTCGGAGTTCTACTGCCAGACTCTATCTCAATGCGATGCTGGATCGACCGCGGTACGACTCCTTTAGGCGGCTGAGATAAGTTTGCGTATTCTTTCAGTGGCTTGGCAATGATCGGATTGGTGGGTTCCTCTTCCTTAGGTTCAGTGACAGGTCTGACATAGGCTACAAAAACTTGTTCCTCTAATAGCTCCTTCTTCATTAAGCGCGCGAACGCTGGAGCACTGAAGCAGCAATGTGTCAGGGAGTTGTCTACTCCTGACACATGAAACAGGCGAGCAGTCTTAACTTCACCTGACGGACTAGGGAGCCTACACTCATGCTCTCTCAAATGGAGTGTGACCCCTGCTGCCTCTCCCCAGTCCATTCCTTGGACCTTATCAAATGGGAGATTATCTTCTATGAGGAGAGTCAGGGAATGAAGAACTCTCTCTACCTTCCCATTCTTCTCTGGGATGAAGTACAGATGGACTCCCTCGACGTAATCCTCGACTCGCATAGTGCGATTCTCTACGAGGATATTGACTCTAGGGTCTTCTAACTTTTGGACCTTTAGATTCAGCTTTAACTTTTGCAACGCTTTTCTACTAATATAGCTGCAAGTGGCCCCACTGTCTATAAGGGACCCTACTCTGCCTCTAAAGACTTCTACATCTACCAGAACTAGCTGTCATTTACTGTCCTTCTTCATTTTGGCCCAAGCGGGCATCCTCTCCTTCAACTCCTCTGTCAGGCCTATGAGGGAAATGCCGGCAGAGACCCTAATACAAGTAGTCTCTGGACAGTTGTTTAGCCACTGGCCAGCAACCTCTGTCATAGACACATGTGGGTTGGGAGTTTCTTTATGGTGCGTACACTCTTCTCCACTGGTCTAGGGGTAAGGGCAGTTGCGACCCCTACCAGCCGTTGCCTTTCGCTACCTATGCAGCATTCCAGGCTTTTGTATATTTGAGGCAGTATTTTATGATATGCCCCGGACCACTACAATAGATGCACCGATCCTGGTTTATCCACCTTTGCCACACTATCTGTTCTAAGCCCAACGATTCCCAGGGTCGGTGTAGGGCCAAACCCCGGTAGACTTTCGAGCCTTAGTCGACCCCACTGCGGGTCCCAGTTGGCTCGGCCTGCCCACGCTCATGCTCAGGGCGCAAGCCATTCGTCCCAGGGTCATCCCCACCTAGTGCTTTGAGATGGATGGGGGTGGGCCAGCGCGCGAGAGAGATTTGACATTGGGGATGTAGCTCAGCCCTCACGTCGGGTGACAGTCTCGCTGGTCGTCCGACAACGCTGATTTTTTTTTTTTTTCTAGGTTATGTGTTCAAGCAATTGCTCCTTCCAATACGCAGGCAGTCCAGGGGTTCTTTGAGAGTTTTCTTCTTTTATGCGCAGGCTAAGCGTCATCCTTAGGCCGCGCACCATTTCCCTAAGCATTGTGTTCCTACGGCGTCATCGGGGTGCGACGAAGCCGTCCTCCCCCTCGCCTCTACGCACCCATCGGGTCTCATACTTCACATTCACCCCTATTGACGCAGACCCCTTAGTCTTTTCGGGGCCTTTACATGCATGCATACACAACTTCACATTTCCCTTGGCAAGATTGCACTCCATTCCCTCATTCACACTCCAAGTCTCAAACGCAAAGGTCATTTTCATGGATTGGCTTTAAGATGAGGGTCCCGTAGCCCCTCTGCCCCTCTTCCCTTTTCCTTTTGACGCCCGGTTCCTCTCGGCCCTATCCCGCTCAAGGCATCCACAACCTTCACTTACCTGCACAATCCCACACAAAGCAAAGATCCATACAATCCCCCGTTGGGGGTCAACACATAGCCCTTCCCACATGCCTATCTTTTTCATGCTCTTTGGCTGCTCTTTGTTCCCTTTCCTTGCTCAATCAGCCCATCCTCTTCTCATAGCCATGCAGTCGGGGAAATGGTTGAGTCAAACTTACCTTGCTTCAACTTATACTTTCTCCGGATTCCGCCCTTTTCCACTTTTCCAAACGTCATTTCCTTTGTCTTCTTGGTGGCACAAGGGACCGGCTACCCTTCCCTTGCTCTCTCTCTCCACCAAGTGAGGTCTGATTTTTTTTTTACTGTTCACATCCCTGGCAATGTAACAAGTGAGGGGAGAGAGGTTAGTCATATGCCAAGTGAGGGGAGGGGAGAGAGAGGGGGCAAGGTGAAGAGGGAGGGAGAGAAAAGGAGTGGGAGAGGGAGAGAGAGAGAAAGAGAGAGGGGGAGAGAGAGAGAGAGACAAGAGAAAGAGAGAGGGAGGAGAGAGAGAGAGAGAGAAAGAGAGAGAGAGAGAGAGAGAGAGAGAGAGAGAGAGAGAGAGAGAGAGAGNAGAGAGAGAGAGAGAGAGAAGGGAGAGAGAGGAGAGAGAGAGAGAGAGGGAGAGAGCGAGCGAGAGAGAGAAAGAGAGAGAGAGAGGGAAAGAGAGAGAGAAAAAAAGAGAAAGAGAGAGAGAGAAAGAGAAAGACTCCTAATCCTAATCAAATCATCACCCCGTAGGAGCAGCCAAATGTCGGTCACCCATCCCATAGTGTTAGCAGCCAAATGTCCGTCACCCATCCCATAGTGAAAGATAAACTAAGCATGGACCAGAATACTACAATACACATGAATTTGACAATGATAGATTGAAAAACACATGCACATGTAGGGAGGCACAGCTAAGTACAACCGGGACACTACAACACACATGCACTTGACAATGGGAAGATTGGACTGCCCATGGAGGAAAGGTCAACTAAGTATGAACCGGAGCATCACAACACACACGAACTTGATAATGAGAAGGTTGAACTAGTGAAAAGCACATGCACACGTAGGAAGGCGCGACTAAGTATGAACCGGAACTCTTCAACGCACACAAACTTTGACAATGAGAAGATTGGACGAGTGAAAAACTCATACACATAGAGGAGATATGAACTAAGTGCGAACCGGAACACCACAACACACACACACTTGACAATGGGAAGATTGAACTAGTGAAAGACACATGCACATAGGAGGAAAGGTCAATTAAGTATGAACCGGAACATCACAACATGCATGCACTTGACAATGAGAAGATTGAACTAGTGAAGGACACATACTCATGGAGGAAAAATCAACCCAGTATGAACCGGAATATCACAACATACATGAACTTGACAATGAGAAGCTTGAACTAGTGAAGGATACATGCACATAGAGGAAAGATCAACTAAGTATGAACCGGAATATCATAACATAGATGAACTTGACAATGAGAAGCTAGAATTAATGGAAGGCACATGCACATAGAGGAGAGAGGGACTAAGTATGAATCGGACCATCACAACATGCATGAACATGACAATGAGAAACTTGAACTAGTGAAGGTTCTGAAGGACACATGCACATGGAGGAAAGATCCACTAAGTATGCATCGGAATATCACAACACATATGAACTTGATAATGAGAAGCTAGAACGAGTCAAAAGCACATGCACATAGAGGAGAGATCAACTAAGTATGAACCGAAATATCACAACACACACGAACTTGACAATGAGAAAATTGAACTAGTGAAAAGACACATGCACATAGAGGAGAGATCAACTAAGTATGAACCGGACCATCGCAACATACATGAACTTGACAATGAGAAACTTGAACTAGTGAAGGACACATGGTCATGGAGGAAAGATCAACACAGTAGGAACCGGAACATCGCAACATACATGAATTTGACAATGAGATACGTGAACTAGTGAAAAGGCACATGCACAGGGAGGAGACATTGACTAAGTATGAATCGGAACATCACAATACACATGAACTTGACAATGAGAAGCTTGAACCGGTGAAGGACATATGCCTACTGAGGAAAAATCAACTAAGTGCGAATAGGAACATCACAACATACATAAACTTGACAATGAGAGACTGGAACTAGTGAAGGAGACATGCACATGGAGGAGAGATCAACTAAGTAGAAACCGGAACATCACAACATACATGAATTTGACAATGAGATACTTGAACTAGTGAAGGACATATGCACATGGAGGGAAGATCAACTAAGTACGAACCGGACCATCACAACATACATGAGCTTGATAATGAGAAACTTGAACTAGCGAAGGACACATGCACATGGAGGGAAGATCAACTAAGTACGAACTGGACCATCACAATATACATAAGATTAACAATGAGATACTTGAACTAGTGAAGGACACATGCACATGTAGAGAAGATCAACTAAGTACGAACCGGACCATCACAACATACATGAGCTTGACAATGAGAAACTTGAACTAGTGAAGGACACATGCACATGGAGGAAAAATCAACTAAGTAGGAACCGGAACATCACAACATATATGAACTTGACAATGAGATACTTGAACTAGTGAAGGACACATGCACATGGAGGAAAAATCAACTAAGTAGGAACCGAAACATCATCATGTGAGAGTTGAGCCATGTATGTGAGTGAGACTGACTCTAACACATG